CTGGTCTATATTTCCGCGGAGCCTTCCGCTTCTTGTCAAAAACTGGCTTTTTGTTTCTGTTGAGCTGCCTCTATTTTTCGGGCAGCTCTCTCCCTTGTGGCAACAAGGTCTTCGAGGAGTATGTGGACTTGACTAACTTCGTCCTTTAGAACCATATCCACACCGTTTCGAGGTCCATAACCAAATAAAAGTTGACTTGGAGTTTTCCCTGTAGACTTATTTGGGACGTTGTTTATGGCAAACTGAACATTTGGAAGTTCTCTGTCCCACAGGTCTTCCTTCAACGTCGATGTAAGTAAAGCGTTCAGCAACGTCCGATTTAACCGCTCTACTTGTCCGTTTGCCCTGGGCGTCGCTACAGCACTCAGAACATGTTTGATATTGTTCTGATGGCAGAAATCTCTGAATTTACGGCCTTCAGTACGACAAATTTCGTGAACCCATCAATTATCGCTAAAATGTGACAATTGCCTTTCCTACTCTTTGGGAATGGTCCCATGTGGTCAACGTGCACCGTGAAGAAAGGAGTTGGAGTTTTCGGAATCGGGTGCAAGAACCCTTCCTTTCTACCAGCTGGTTTCTTGTTATACAGGCATGGGATGCAGCAAGAAATATATTTCTCCACATACTTCCTCATCCTTGGAAACCAGTAGTGATCCGTTAAACGATACAATGTTTTGTCCACGGCAAAGTGACCAAAATCATCATGAGCCGCTTTCACTACTTGATGACGCATACCTCGTGGCACAACCCATTGTATACCTCGAACCGTAACACGATAGACTTATCCGTCCCTCAAAGCATAGTCCTTATAGACTTGCTTTTCTTCGTTCGACGTAGGCGGTCTGGACAAGATATCGTGAATTCGATTGATCTTCTCGTCGGTAAGCTGTCCAGATAATACCCAATCAGCCTGATCAACTCGGAACACCGTTTCCGTTTCGGCAGCCTCGTCAGCACAACCGACTGGATTTCTACTTAGACAATCCACGTGTGCCATTCGAGGTCTGTACTTCACTTCAAAGTCAAACTCCTGTAGTTGCAACCACCACCTAGCAATTCTGGGTATTATTTGCTTCTTTACACTGGTGGCCTTCAATGCATTACAGTCAGTCACTACTATAAAATGAACCCCTAGCAGATATACCCGGAACTTTTTCAAACTTTCAACCACCGCCAGAGTTTCCAACTCATATGAGTGGTACTTCTGCTCACCATCGGTGGTTTGTCTACTGTAGTACGCCACTGGGTGTAGCCGCTCATCGGGCTGCATTTGCAAGAGTATTCCTGCAACGCCCAGCATACTTGCGTCGCAATGAGCTTCAGACGCAGCAGCTGGGTCATACAGAACCAAAACTGGCCGGCTCAATAAGTTGCTCTGCAACTTCCTAAATGATCCTTCTTCCTGTTCACCTCACCTTCAAGAACACTTTTTTTTTTTGACAAGATTTGTGAGGTGCTTAACAACTTTAATGTAGTCCTTCACAAAATGCCTGAAGTATTCAGTTAGTCCAAGGAACTGTCGGACTTGGTGTACTGTACTTGGTTGACAAAACCCTCGGCTTTCGTCTTCTCCTTGCCGGGTTTGATCTTCCCATCCTCTATTTGGAACCCAGGAAATGTAACCGATCTCATCAGAAAAGCACATTTCTTCAAGTTCAAAGTGAGGCCTTCCTCTCGAAAGTTTTTCAAAACCTTTTTTATACCCTCTAATGCTTCCTCCGCCGTCTTAGCATGCAGCAATACATCATCAAGATATACAGCTGCAATGTCTTGCGCCGGCTTGAGCAACCGGTTCATAAGTCTCTGAAATACTCTGGGTGCATTTGAGAGGCCGGAAGGGACTCTATTGAATTCATAGAGACCTCCCGGAGTGACAAACGCTGTGTATCGCCACGATTCCTCCTCCATAGGGATTTGGGAGTGTCCGAACCTGAGATCTAGACTGGTGAAATAGATCTCGTCACGGAGCCTGTCGACTTGATCGTGAATTGTTGGCAAGAGGTGACTGTCCTTGATTTCTATCACACACAAACGGCGATAGTCGATACATAACCTTTCTTCGATCTTCATTTTTCTTCTTCATCAGAAGAACCGAGGATGCATAGTTTGCGTCTCATGCTCATATGACTTCCACGCTCAGAATATCATCGACTATCTCCTCCACAGCCTCTAGCTCTGAGTGAGCCATTTGGTAAGCCCGATACGTGAATGCTTTTTCTCTTTAAGCTGTATCGTCATTTCAGCGGACACACTGAGTTCAGCCATCGACTGAGCAAAACAGCCGCGATATTGATTCGGCAAGCTAACCAAGTTTCCTAGCCAAACTTCCGATATGGATCCAACCGTGAAATCCTCCTCTTTATTTGAGACCCTCGAAATATAAACGATCTCATCAGGAAACTCTCTGGGTTTCTCCACCGTTTCGCCGACTACCTTAGCTGGCTATAAGCCACCATCACAAAATAAAAAAAACGTGTTTGATATATTTCGTAAGCTTACACATGCGTATTTTCGGGAACCCCTTGTAGACGGGCGTGGCAACAATCTTAAAAGAGATATGTCTTCATAGACGAATTACGTATTACTTATACCCAAAAAGTAAAAGACATTATACCTTATCTGCCCATAAAACCTCTTTACAGGCTTAAAAGCTTTTAATCCGCATGTTTATACAACAGACGCATTCATTCGTTTTATGCATTCACAATGTCAACAACCTCTCTACGAATCCGATGTAGACGCTGCGAGTAGAGATGGGAACAAACATCGACATTTCCGAACATCGATGTATACGTATTTATGTTACTATCGAGATTTCGTTTAAGAACAAAATTTCGCCATCCGTACTAATTTTGTCATTTTTCAAATTTCTCGGTAGATATTTTACCGGTATAACGGACTTTGCTTCATCGAGGAGACTTCCTCTGTGTGTTCTGGGGGCAGCTGCTGGGACAAAGCTAGTCTACCTGCGAAGGACTAGGAAATACTATACTAAGTGACATATAAATCCGAACACCCAGTTTAAAAGGTTTTGTTTTAATAAAATTTTGTATAAGTACTTAATGAAGCATAATAAGTAAATGATAAAAATTTTAAAATGATTGTACTGCTTTAAAGCCCTTTGACCTTTAATAATGTGTGGTTGCACCCTGATGTGCTACGCATTCTCCAACGCGCCTAGGCATGCTTCTGATCAGGTGGTCAATGTCCTCCTGTGGTATCTCATTCCAGGCAACCACCAACTCCTCTCGAAGTGCTTCTAGAGTCTGAGGAGGACGTTGCAAATTGAGCAATCTCCTACCCATCATATGCCACACGTGCTTAATTGCAAGTAAGTCGGAAGATCTTGGTGGCCATGGTAACAATGTGACATCATTATGTTGAAAGAAGTCTATTGTGACTCTTGCAACATGTGGTCGGGCATTATCTTGTTGGAAAGTTGGATATGCCAGGGTGTCAAGATAGGGTAAATGATGGGGTTCTAGAACTTCGTGGATATAACGCTGCGCGTTCATGTTACCTCTGATGAAGATTAAAGGTGACCTGGAACCATAAGCTATATCACCCCAAACCCTAACTCCAACAGTGTGATGAACATGTCTTTCAACAAAAAACTGTAGATTCCGTCTTTCACCACGTCGGCTTCTAACCCTGGCACGACCATCGTGCATGCCTAAACAAAATCGGGACTCGTCACTAAAGACAATACTGTTCCATTCCTGATCCCAGAGTGACCGTTGTCTGCACCACTCAAGGCGATTACGTCGGTGTTCTCGAGTTAAAGGGAGGACCGAGTGTGACCGGTATGAAAACAAGCCAAAACTTCTCATTCGTCGGTAAACACTTCGCATGCCAATAGGTCTTCCGTGTTCTGCAAACCATTCATTTGCAATGGACCTGGTAGTGGAGGCCAATAATCTTAGGCGGCGATCTTCACGGTCTGTTGTTCTACGGCGGCGTCCAGTGCCCCTTGCTCTTTGCGTACGGCTTTCTCGAAGCCATGTCTGACAACACCTAACCACAGTGCCTACACTTCTTTCACTTCTTTGCACTCTAACTGCAATTGCACGAAAAGAAGGTCCAGCTTCCCGAAGTCTCACTATACAGCCCCTATCAAACCAACTAAGTTGACGAAATCCTACAGGTCTCCGTACTCTAGGCATCGTAGCCGATCGTAAAGGATGTCAAGAACCAAAATCCGCCAACATTGATTCTTTACTGCAGCTGAAATATTCATTTTTAGAACATTAGTGAATTAAAAAAAAGCAGTATAAAAACCGGAATGTCCAACTGACAAGGCTGAAAATTTTTTCACTAGTTATTTACAGTAAGATAAATACATTCACCAACTTTTATTAAAATAAAATTATTTAAACTGGGTGTTCGGATTTATATGTCACTTAGTATATTTTGCACAGAACCACCTCACTCTGTACAAGGCCCAGACCTAGATTCGAGTACTGCTCACATATTTGGGGTACTGCCACCTTCTGCAATGGAAAGTCTTGCGACCCTTCGGCACCTTCGACGATCCAGCTCTCTCTTGACGACTGGCTTTGCTTCTCATTCTTCTCCATGATACCGCCGCGCGATGTGCCTGCCAGATAGACCTGCCTGACTTCGGCATATTAACCGTATCGAATTTCGTACATCCAGAACTGGCCGATACGATCGCTCCTTTGTCTCTAGGGTATCGAGACCATGAAATATTATATCAGGGGTCGTTTTTCCCAGTTCTATTAAGTAAATAGTTCAAAAATTGGACTAACAACGTTTCTTTAAGCCCTCCTTAGCACCTGCGGTCCCCTGGTATTTAGGTTTCTGCCTACGCGGTCAAAATCGGATGGATCAAAAATCTCTAACATTTTTTAGCAACGCGCCGTGTCTCGGATTCAGGTTTTTGCTCTCAGATATCGTTGATCATCGATTTTTTCTAATTTGCCCATCACTAGGCTGTGATGCCGATACATCGCGACTATTTGCTTATAAATCCGTACCTTTTGTAGTTGGCCAGAGTGCTCCAAGATGTTTGTCTTGCCTCTCAAATATCTGGGTAGATACCAAAAGCAGACGTTCATGTACTGCCTTTTGGACACCAGCATAAAGTCGGACCTCACGTTTATCTGGTTTTCGAAATATTCCGCTAGGTCCATCAAGGTGTCTATGTGATTGGCAAACCCTGTTGAGCCCTGAAAAAAATTGGGCCTTCAGGTTAAGTCAAATAAAAGTCAAACAAATGACATTTAAAAAGAATCGATATATCAATTTAATAACTTAGATTTTCAATATTACCAATATTTTTCGAGGTGCTCAAAAACTTTTAAGATTTTCAGAATGCAAAAGATTTTACAGACACCACACCCTGTATTTTTGAAATACTGAAACATTTTAGAAATTGCATGATTCTGATTCGTCAAAATTTTTTTAATTTGTCATAAATTTTCATATTTTTAATTACCAGTTACCTTAGCCCGCCACATAAACCAAAATTTGAATACATCACATTTTCGTCCACACTGCAGATACTTATCGCCCATGTCGTACGATCTATCGTAGTGCTTATCTTTTTGAAATAGGTACTCGGCCCCTCTTGAATAGCATTTGTGAAGGATCTCCTTGTCCCTCACCAGTAATATAGAACATTGCTGAGGTACTGCTAGAAGCTTATGGGGGTTGATGATTATGGAATTTGCTCGCTCTATACCTAAAAATAGTTTTTTTTTGGTGGTAACCTTCCACTACAGTATCTGAAGAATTTTACTGTAAATTTTTACGGAAAAGTTTGAGGATCTATAATTCTGGAGCCTTGATATCAGATCATAGAACTTTGGTAAAAGAAATACTACCACTAATGTATAGTGAAATATACGAACCGTTTAATCTTGCTCTATGTTTTTGAGAAAAAATCAGTCCGCCACCCCAGGCTGCATCTATGTGGAGCCACAAATCATATTTTTTGCAAATATCAGCTATATCTTCAATTGGGTCAAATGCTCCTCTTACCGTTGTACCTAAAGCAAAATAATAACAGATGTCTAGTCCCAATCCGCACTTGTCAGAATATTCGAGTGATTCAAGGACATGGACCAGCATAATGAGATATTACGATTAGTATACCTTCACAAGTATATGATGCCAAAAGTTACTACAGTGGACCCCCGATAATCCGGCGCCTGTCTAATCCGGCGCCCCCTGTAATCCGACATGTCTTTGAATATGTATTACATACATACGTATTTGACAATCTTCGCTAATGTAGATCTCGCAGGTTTGAACAGGTTACAACTTGTACGCGCCACCGCTATCGTGCTCGACGCGTAAGCATTGTTTTACTTAGTTTGAATTTGACTACTGGTGATAGCGGTACGGCCTAGCGTGCGTTCATTGTTTACTATTTATTCATTGTGTATTAAGTATAATACCTAGTAATGTCATCACAAATTCCGAAGCGAAAGCACAAAACATTGACAATTAAAGAAAAATTTCATATTTTAGACCGCTTAAATCGCAATGAAACCCGTATCAAAAGACGAACCAATAGAAAAAACTTTAAAAGAATTTAATATGTATGAAAGACTTGGTTTTTGCTCTTTGTCAGTCGTGGAATGCGTTACCGTCATCAACTATTAAAAAGTTATGGAAAGATATAGTCACCACTCCTAGCAACGTTCCACAAATCAGTGTTACTTCGAAAGTTATAGAACAAGGCGCTACTGAAACACATATAAGTCCGGAAGATTTGGAAATCTGGTGCCGTGGAATGGATAAAGAGGAAAATGTTTTTCATGAAATGTCTGACGAAGAGATTATAAAAGAGGTTTCTAATTATACAACAAACAATCAGGAAAATAACGACGACGTGATTGCAACTGCTCCACAAGTCACATCACAAGACGCAATTAACGCCTTTGGGCTAGGTTTACAATGGGCTGAAGAGAATGATCATCTTACAACGAACTTTTATTTTTGAGAAGACTGAGAGACAAAGCTCTGAACTCGCGTTATAACAACCTTAAACAAAAAAAAATTGATGAACATTTCCAAGCTTCATAATGTGATAAAGTCATTAATGAGTTTGATTAATAGTTCTTGATTATTTTGGTACACATGTATGTGCATTTATGGTTAATTTTATAATAAAACGTAAGCTCTCTATTGTTATTTAATTTACTAAATTCGACATACATAAACTATGTATGATTTGTACTTCAAAGTACATACATATACATAACATATATAATCTTACCATTGGATATGTAATTTGTCGGATTACCTGGTACTCTTTTGTAAAAAATTCTGGACTGTAGGGGTTTTAGGCAGTGCTCTATAATCCGACAAATTCGATAGTCCGACACTGCCCTGCATACTGTTTGTCGGATTACCGGAGGTCCACTGTATTGGAAAAAAAGCGGAAAAAAAACATGTCACCCATGAGATTCGAACCCGTGACCTCCGGATCAGCAACTAGGTGGATAATGCGTCGGCTACAATTCGGGAGGTTGTGGGTTCTAGTCCCACTGGCCGCCGGTTTTTTTTATATTTTTTCAACTTATATTCACGTACCCAAGGTTGCTACGACCATAAAAGGCGCGGATCCGTCATCAAATTTCTCTTGTATCCTCCGTTCCAGATTTTCAGGAATGATTTGACCCACATCATCAGTCTTAACACCAATCACGTTTTCTTCTCCTATACCAAGGAAGGCAGCGAACTTGTGGATCGAGTAATGGCACTCTTCGGAAGCAAAGAGGACCAGCTTTGGTAGATGGCATGTTCCTTTTGCCTAAAAATACTTAAGACCTTAAGACGATAAAACTGTAAAGAAATAAGGGCTACGAATACTGTAAGGACTAACTATTTTCATAGATGGCGTTAAGCTTGACCCACGTAGATTTGTAAAGCTTTTTGAATATATTTTAATTTCTTTTTTTTATTTGATAAAGGCTTTCAGAATCTTCAAAGCGTTTCAACATTTTCGGACTCGTCGTTTACCTTGGTGTCGGGAAACTTGTTGTATCTAGCCAGATTAATAGCAGTTCCATTGCCAAAAGATCCTCCTGGACAGAAGAGGCCGTCTCCCCAGTCAGGTCCAATCATGCTATTGACCTCACGCATCACGTGTTTTTCCATGAGGGTAAAAACCGGGGCTACTTCGTAAGTATAAACGCTAGCGTTCAGAGCATCTGTGAGCCACTGGCCTGCTAAACCGTATGGATCCAACCTGGAATAGTTTAGCCATACAAAGCGTCCCGAAATAAACAGAATGTGTCAAATCAAAAGTGTTCCAGCTGACCCTCTCTGGAAAAAGCGTGGATTCCATACAATACTATACTACAACTATTTAAAACTGTAATGACTGATACGCGTGATCAACACGTGATCAGAGCTCGATCCCGGCTTCCTTCCAGTACAGCCGTATAGCGTACGATATATGTCGTTTCTGTGGCTTTGCGGTGGTCAACAGCACAGACAGAGATGGAATAATGGCTGATTGTTCTCCGCCGGTAGAACCAATGAAATCAAAGACGCGCCTCGACCGGCAGACTCATAGGCGTCGGCAACGCATTGGAACGTGTTTCGTTGAGCGATCGCATATTGTGTGTTTTTATAAGAATTGTTGGGTGATTGTTATTGTTGTGGTTTCTGTGGTTACTGTTTTGGTTATACTTAATCATGGAGAGTACAAATGGCACGAGTGGAAGTACTGAAAGCCAGGGAACAAGTAGACGGCTTCGTAAAGCACTGAAGAGGGACGCGAAAGAAATCGTGCTCAACGTGTTCAATTATCTGAACAGAACTATGTCGCAGGGAGATGCTCTCGCGCGTTGTGAAAGTATGACAGGCGTTCCAGAGTGGTTCATTCGCAGGGTGGTGCATGAAAAGAAGAAAACTGGAGCTACTACTGATCCAAAGGCGTTAAGGCGAACCGTACATTCATTCTTCTTTAGGAATGAGATACCAACCCTCAAGGCTGTACATGCAGCGATCAAGGAAAATGAAATTATACCCCAAATGAGCGTCGAGGTAATGAGGAAATCCCTGCACGAAATTAATTTTCGTTACGAAACGCGTAATCGGAAGTCAGTATTGATAGAGAGACCTGAAATAGTCGCCTGGCGTCGAAAATACCTACGCGTAATGATTGAATATAGGCGACAAAGCAGAAAAATCTATTTTTTGGACGAGACATGGGTAAATGCAGGTCACACAGTTAAAAAAACCTGGATAGACAAAAACGTAGTGAGTAACCGACAAGCAAGCATTGAAGGTTTGTCAACAGGTCTTCGTGGATCGTCAGGGAAAGGTCAAAGATTGATCTTAACTCATATTGGTAGCGATAGTGGCTTTTTAGAAGAGTGTGACTTGATTTTCGTCTCTAAGAAAGGAGGTGATTACCATGACGAAATGAATGCCAGCTGCTTCGAGAGCTTGTTTCAAGGGGTGCTTCAGTGAGTTGAGCCCAACTTTGTGATCGTCATGGATAATGCTGCCTACCATAGTCGTCGAGCCGAACGTGTACCGACTATGGGATCTCGAAAAAGTGACATGCAGCAATGGTTGCGCGAAAAAGGAATCCCGTTTGACGATTCATGTGTGAAAGCGGAATTGTATGAAAAAATTAAACAGCACAAACCTGTGAACGTTAGTTACGTGACTGATGAGATGGCCCGTCAATGTGGTGTCACTGTGCTGCGGTTACCGCCCTACCACTGTGAACTGAACCCAATAGAGCTCATCTGGGCTCAAGTGAAGGGTTATCTTGCGCGCCATAACACAACCTTCAAATTACCAGACGTTAAGGTTTTACTTGAGACTTCCATACAGCTAGTAACGCCCGAAGCTTGGCAGAATGCTATCCGTCATGTTGTGAAGGAAGAAACAAAAATGTGGCAGCTTGACCACCACATCGACACCATCATAGAGCCAGTTATAGTCAATTTCAACGAGGAAAGCGATAGCGACAGTTTATTACTGTCAGATGTAAGTGGAAGCGACGGTGAATAAAGGTAATTCCCAAATTTTTGACTTACGATATGTTTCAAACTACTCTTTATTAAGCATGTGACAAATCTAGTTCACTCATGTTAAACATTCATACCCCGCCTATGAACAGCAGACTACTGGTAGTTAAGTGATGTTCACGTGAACATCGATGAGTCATTACAGTTTTAGATAGTTATAGTATAGAGTGCCAGACAGTGCGGAAAATCGGTTAACTAAGTTTGGCAACACCGCTGGTGGATGCCCCCATTTTGTCAGACATTGACTGAGTGAGAACAATATGCCACAAATTAATTCGTCCGAAAATTGTAATTCCATTGATAAACCCAACAAAGGACGGGAGTTTTTCTGACCAGGGAATTCAACAAATCAGCCCCGAAATTGAAATTAAATGTATTAATCGCTGACTGAACTCATTGCTTTGTTGAATAATTGATGTTGATTATAAATTTGAATCAGTTCAAGTATATTGGAGATCTCTCCCTCTGAAGCGTAGAGCGATGTTTTGGCAGAACAAACAAGGCAATACGTAAGCAAAGATATTTTTTAGAGGAGCAGCACAATACGCTAGGATTCATTTTAATTTTTCTGAAACTACGAGGCTTTTAGGTTCTTGTAACCTTGTGTGAAATTTTCATAAAAATCCAAATGATACTTCCCAATTTACAGACGGGCCAAGGAAAGACAGACAGACAGATAGTATGAGTGACATGCTTTATAGGTTATACAGTGTGTCCCAGAAATAGACTCCAAGCCGGAAATGGGGGATCGCCCAAATCATACACTGGACAACAAATTTTAGTTTTTTAATTGTATCTTGTGGGAAAAGTGCACTTCTTTGTTAATTTTGGGGCGCTGAATCCAAAAATGACAATAAAAATAAAAAAATTAGTTGCGGTTTAGAAAAAAAACTTTTTATTTTTAGGGATATATTAAAAAAAGTAACAAGATTCATATACACTATATGCGCTGTCTTTTTGCTGTTCTTTTATGGATCGTTTCTGGAGCATCTCTACCAAGAGTCCAACAGTAGTCTGCAAGCATGGAAGGATTCCACTTTCCCTGGTACCTTTTTCCATTGTTGAAGTATCCTGATGAAAACGTTCGCCGTGCTCATCACTTACGGCTCCGCAATTGTCAGGAAAAAAGTCCAGGTGTGAGTGTAGGAAATGTATCTTAAGAGACATATTACAGCCCATCTTTTGATACGATGACAGCATATTTTTGACAAGGGTTTTATAGTTGTCAGCTTTTCTATTTCCCAAGAAATTAGTGACCACCAGACGAAAATCATTCCAAGCAGTTTTTTCAATACCTGTTAAAGTGTTTTCAAACTGTGCATCTTTCAAAATATTTCGAATCTGTGGCCCAACAAAAATATCTTCTTTAACCTTTGCCTCACTTAGTCTTGGAAATTTCTGACGCAGGTATTGAAAAGCTGACCCATCTCTATCTAATGCCTTGACAAAGTTTTTCATTAGGCCCAGCTTGACATGCAGTGTTGGTAATAAATTTTTTTTCGAATCTACTAATGGCATATGCTGTACATTTTTTTGACCTGGCTCTAGGAATTGACGAACAGGCCAGTTTTGTCTGGTGTAATGAAGTGCCTTTGCCCGACTGTCCCATTCACGCAAAAAACAGCAAAACTTTGTGTAGCCTAGCTGCAGCCCAAGTAGAAGTGCAACAACTTTCAAATCGCCACAAATATGCCATTGGTGCTCATCGTATTTTATGTGTGTCAATAGGTACTTCATATTGTCATATGATTCTTTCATGTGAACTGCATACCCTACAGGAAGAGATGGTAAAATATTTCCAATATGCTATAACACTGCCTTTAAACTCAATGTTGAACTGTCTATAAACAATCTCCATTCTTCTGGGTTATAGTTTATATTTAAAGCCGCCAGTAAGCCGTTAATGTTACTGCAGAAAACCAAGTTATTCTCCATATTGAAAAATGGTTCTAAGTCTTTGTGGCGTTTATGAAGAACACATACCGAAACATCGTCTTCTAACAAGTTCCACTGCTGCAGCCTTGATCCAAGTAACTCTGCCTTAAATTTGGGAAGTTCTAAATCTCTTACAAGATCATTTAATTCTGACTGTGTTATTTTGTGCGGTTGGTGGCATGATGTGCTCGGTATAAAATCAGGATCTCTTGACGTTGATGGCATATCTTCTTCCTGACGAATCACTCGATCGCCATGATCTGATTCGTTTTCTGATTCGCAAGTGTAGGATTCTGGGGGTTTTGGAATAGGATTTTCGTCACTGTGAGGCACAGGTCTCATCGCAAATAGTATGTTTGGGTAGTTAATAACCGATTTTTTTTTCTTGGACATACCTGTGGCTTGTCTAACACAAGGTACCATGCAAAAGTAACAATCATTAATATGATTTGTAGGCTCTCTCCAAACTATTGGGACAGCAAAGCGCATAGACCGTTTTTTGCCATTTAACCAGCTCCTCAGACTTGAAGCACATGTATTACAGCAGATGTGGGGTGCCCACTGTTTGTCTTGATCACCTAGTTTACAACCGAAATAAAGCTGATATGCCTTTGTTATTAGTGGAGTAATAGACCGTCTCTGAGACGCAAAAGTCACATCACCACACACGTAACAAAACTGATCTGGATTGTTTACACACTTTCGAGACATCTTGCATGAACGCTGTCAGCCAACTGAGGAAAAGATGGCTAATATAAAACAATATAATGTACACGTATGTATAACGTAACACAATCATGCCGATTACATCATCTTTCCTTGCCGAATATAAAAATGTAGCACGTGCATTCTTGTGAATTACAGTATATTAACACTGTCACAGCAGGAACACATATAATTACCATATCTCTAAAACTTGAACTAATATTGTAAAAATTAGTTTCATTCCGGTTTTAGCACATTAAAAATAGTAATATTTTGTTGATTTTATTTAGGATATTTTTTGGCTGTTGATCAGTGTTATCAGAGGAATATAAAAACAGTCGTGTACTTTTCAGATTATAAGCTTTAAAGACATCGAAAAAATCTACACTCTGTGACTCCAACGTACAAGTACAGTGAGCAGATGAGCAAGAAGGGCCAAATGTTACGTAGTTGCGAGGCGTCGTATTTATGAAAAATTTCACATTGTGTTAAATTAACGCCGCGTTGTTAAATGACTACGTTTCAATCCGCTACCAAATATTAGCAATTCATTTTGAAT